CAGCATTCAGTTGTCACACGCTGAGTCTCAAAGGCGTTGTCACATCCCCAGAAGCCCTTCAGGATGTCTCTGCTTGTCGCTCGGCTTCCTGCACTACTTTCTCCAGATTGTCACATTCGGCGTCCCCGAGAGCCTTATCCATTTCCCTGTCCTCAGGGTCCCTGCACATGCCCTTCCCTTTTCCACTAACTGCATGTAATCCATCTCTCACTCCCAGCTCGAATGTGACCCAGACCAGAGGACTTTCATGCGTACCCTGTAGCTCACTCGAGGTTGCTTATGCTCATTTTCACTAGTGCCTGCCACATCAGGTCAGTATAGATTTCCTTGTTATTAATAATATTCCTTCTCTGATGGTACATTCCAAAAAGAAGGAGGAGGAGGAGGAGAGGAGAAGAGGAGCCCATCTTTTAATTACCAACTTTACCCCCAGCATCTAACACTGTCCCTGGCACCATTATAGGCTCTCATTAATTATTTAGAAATGAATGTTTTCCTCCAGATTATTATTTTCCCCAAAGCAAGTTTGGGAATTAATTATTTTTTTATGATTATCACCAAGTAGTCTCAGTTGGCTCACTTCTATAACACTTATGGAAAGGATACAGAATTTTCCAGACTTTTCTAAACTCAGATTTACATGTTTTCACAAGCCATCAATCCAGAGTTCACTTTGCAAATTGAACTTCATTTTAAAGAGATCTAAACACGAGTATTCATGACCTTACCTTGTACTAAATATCACCAAACTTACACATATGGCTCTATTTTTTTTTTTTGTCTGCCTGGTTTGAATAGTTAATATGAAGAATAAAGAGATTGAGAAAGACATTCTAAGAAATATATATTTTTAAACTGCTTAATTTATTAATTTAGATAATTGCTTTGTTTAAAAAAGAACTGCTTTATTACAGGGAAATATATATATGTGTGTGTTATTTATCTATGTATACATATTTTTTATTACTTGTTAAGGAGCTAATCATGATTTCTAAACAGGGGTAACTCTACCACTTCCATAGCATGATCTTTGGCCATTGTAATGAATAATCATACACTGAATCAAGGATGATTTCATGTATTTAGGGACCACTTGGCACCGCATACCAAAACCTCCAAGCACAGGACCCCTAGAAGAATAAATAGTCACGAAGCAAGCCAAGGAGAATCATTAATCGTAACTCTTTTCCTATAATATTTGGGATTCTAATGTTGAAGAGACATAATTTCAAATTAAACTAGCTTTTTCTTTTTTAAAAAAAGCAGTACGTTTTTCGTTCATCTATCAGTAAAGATCAGGCATACGTGCAAACAGTATCATCAATGATATTCTCCCCATTTCCTGGCATTGTCGTTTTCTCAGTCCTGGAGAGACCCAATGCAGGTGTAAAGATGAGCAAACGTCAGATATAAATCAATCAATAAATCAAAAGAGCCACTCTTTCCCGTGGTTCTGGGAGTTACCCTGACTCTACCAACTTGGATAACTTGCCAGTTCTTAAACCAAACAGCCCAGGCCTGAACCTCATTCGCATTGCTGGAGCTAGAACCAGCCCCACCCACCCATGGGCTGTGAAGGGGATGAGCATCTATCTGAGGAAAATGAGAGGCTCTTCCTAGAAGCAAAGCCCAGGATACCAATGGGTCAACATGCTTAGTCACGGTCAGCTTAGACATCATTCATATAAAAATACCACATGCAGTTGATTATAGTTTAAGTATGATGATTTCTGTATGAACTATGACTTTTATTGAATCCTTGCTTCATTTGTGAGACTCCAATCTAAGGTTGTTTTTTCAGTTTATGATCCAACATTCTTTACATTTGTCCTTTTACGTAAAGCCATTATTTTTCAGTTTCTCAGGCACAGGAAAGAGATTGAGGAGACAAACCACAGTCATATCTAGCCATGTCATGTTTATTTACTCGTTTTTATTTTTTTTTATCGTGGGAGAGAGGGGTGGCTGAGGATGTCTGGAACGCGTGGGTATGGGGATGGCAAAGGAAGGAATGGTGGGAGGGTGAGATTCAACTCCGTGAAGAGGACTGTAGTACGCTGCAGAAAAAGAGATACAGATGCATGACTTAGAGTGTCTTACCATTTATGTATCATAACACTGCAGGAAACCAATTACAAATGATAGATTTTATTCTACTGCCTGGTAACTTGTAAGCAACACATTGGCTTCTCCATGAACATCAACTGTTCCTCCATCCTCTTTGATTTAGGAGGCGGACACCCCCTCTGCTCTGGGAACATTTTCACATGACTTCATCTCAGGAGACCCCTGGTCACAGTCATTGGGTCATAACTGAATGAAATCCCCATCAGACTTTAGGTGCCGGGTCTCTCACAAGGGACATTGCCATCTTTCTGGATATTCAGCCAGTGTCTCCATTCCCTTTTCGAATCTTGGACCAAATAATTGCTTCACCATAGTTTTGTTTGCACGTGTGGGGACTCAGTTACGTTGGTTTTTAGCCCACTGTGTTCTGACTTAGTACTAAAAGACTGAAAAATAATGTAAAGTTATTTAAATCACCTAAACATGGAACTGATTTTTGGTTTATTTGTTGAACTCTATTCCTGCCATTGGTTTCTGTGGATCTAGTGGCGTTGCCTGTCTTCTGTGGTTGGCTCGCTCTGCAGTCTGGGGGCTGTTTTTCTCACCTCTGCTTTGCAGTACTCTCTGGTATTTATAGCACCTCCCAGATGGGTGCCTTCCTCAATTTAATTATTATCCAGCTTATCCTCCCTTCCAATATCATTCATGAAAATGTTAAATAAGGCCAGCCATAATACCCACATCCCCAAAGCATGCTCCTCAACCATTCTTAACTTGATGCATTGCCATTTATCATTAGATTCCTTTAGCCAATTTAAGTCCCAGGAAGAATGTTAATATTGAATCCAATTTGAGCTAAATTTTAATTAAGATTTCCTGAGACATTATGTTAAGTGGTTTACTATAATCAAAATTGATATCTCCTCTGCTACCCCCACTCTTAATTTTCTAATTTTACCCACATGCAAAAGAGAATTGAGTCAGTCTGGCTTGACTCATTCTCCATAAACATACATCATTCATCTGTTCTGTTTCTGCAAATAGTTTCCTTCTCCTTTGCCTTTAGGACCATGTCTATCATCCTCCTATAAGTCCCAGAGTCATTTTATGAAATGCATTTCCTTCTGGTGACCACATCTGTCCACCCCCAAATACCTAATCTCAGCTAACTGAATGCCAATCTCTCAAATTTCCTTCTTCCCTCTCAATTATTTTTGTAGCTACTATTTCTATGCACATTATCATTCTAAATGCAGTGGATGCTAAGCACAGAAACAGAGTATGCACTGTATACCCCGTTAAGGGTGATGGTAAGGCACTTTGTTTACATTTTCTCAGGATGGTGAGCATGAACATCTGAATGGGCCATTAATTAACATGGCACTCTTGAAATTGAATTCAAGTTTCAAGGTAAATGTGCACATTTACATTTGATCTAAGTGCACCAGACGGTCCAGGGGTCACCCAAAGGAATCTGTGAACAATAAAAAACTATTATTTTATAGAAGTGGAAATTAGGGGTTAGAAATACATATGAAAATGTTAGTAAATAAGAAAATTTTTTTCTGTAGGTTTACTTATTAAAATCATATATTTTACTTATTCAAGAGGAAACTTTTAATTATTTTCCCCTATGTGTAAACTTATATGAGGCCACCTTTCTTATCCCCATCGATCACTTTTGGAATGAGGAAAACAGAAAATTCTGTGAACGTCTGAGGGTGCCTGGGTGGCTCAATAGGTTGAGTGTCTGCCTTCGGTTCAGGTCATGATCCCAGGGTCCTGGGTTCGAGCCCAGCATCTGGCTTCCTGCTCAGGGGAGAGTCTGCTTGTCCCTCTCCCTCTGCTCCTCCCCCTGCTTGTGTGCTTACTCTCTCTCTCTCTCAATTTCTTGCAAATAAATAAATAAAATTTATTTATTTAATTTAAAAAAAAAGAGAAAATTCTGTGAATGTCTGTAAAATGCATATTATAAGATTTCCCACTAGAACTACTACTTCCCCCAGGGGGTAAATTTATATTTATCAGCAAAGAGCCTTATTTAACTCATTAAATCATTCTTACCTTAATTTTGCTTTATTGAATTAACAATGGTCATTCTGTTTTCACATGTAATGACCCAAATATACTTTTAACTTTTGGATACAAGTTGCTTCATAATGACTATAAACACCTACAAATTAGCCTTAGGAATGCTCATGTGGTGATATCAAGGGCCTCTGAATTCATTCTCTTTTCTCAAAAACAACAACAACAACAACAACAAAACTTCTTGTGCTTGACAGTCTAATTTTTTAGTAAGCTATTCTACAATCAGAGATGCATTTGTTTGATTTTGGAAAGGCAATACCCTAGGCCTTTTCCGTCTTTTGTAAGTCAGTGTGAACAAGATCATAAAGATCTTTCCTAAAGCAAAGTAGAAATAAAAAGGATGCAAGGACTGGAGACTCTCTGAGAGACGGAAGGAAAATAGTATGGATGTAAAAGGCAAAAGCAGAAGGAAGGATGACAGTAATAAAGACAGACTTCACCCACTAGGTTTTCTCCAGTCTCGGTAGGCAGTAATCTGTGTTTTTATGTCCAGAACAGGAGGTAACCTAGAAGGAAAAAATTAACTTTCCCATAGTGACATTAGATTTGCTGTTAGACCCTTTCTCTTCTTTCCTTTAGTAAATTAAAATAAAGACAGTCTTCAAGATCCAAAACTTTTATCACTTTCATAAGAAAAGAAAAAAAAAAAAAAAAACCTTCCTGCTGGGATTGCTTCCAAATCGGTGCACCCTTGCCACCCTTCAAGACAAGAGCGAATGTGCCAAGAGAGCTTTCTTCACCTGTACTTTGTCTTTGAAAGCATGCTCTTTTTGTTAGGGGACAGGGACACGGGATGGAAAGCTGAGCCCCAGGAGGACTGACGATGTGGTTTTCTGTTCCAGCTCACAGCCGTGGACGCCGACGAAGGGTCCAACGGGGAGATCACGTACGAAATCCTGGTGGGGGCTCAGGGCGACTTCATCATCAACCACACCACGGGGCTCATCACCATCGCCCCGGGGGTGGCACTGACGGTGGGGCGCACCTACGCGCTCACGGTCCAGGCCGCGGATAATGCGCCTTCCGCGGAGAGAAGGTAAGGCACAGCGCAGCCACTGCGCCTTCTCTGCGCTCCCGGTTAACCGTGCCCTGACACAGAGGAAGCACAGCAAGTGTACTTTTATTCTGACACATCTAAATTTGACCAGAAAATTCGAGGGCCCAAACTCTCAGGAACTGCACGTTCTTACTTGGTTAAGTTGTAGGGAAAGGACAATAAAGATTAAACCACAAAATAAGTAACTGTGATTTCACAGATGTGAGGGATACAGATCTCTATTCTAGGGGGGAACTGGGAAATATCAGAAACGGGTAGGCAATTTATTGCTGAAAAGCAAGTTTGCTAACAGTGAGAGGTCACAGACATAGCAGCGACATGAAATGTCTTGGGTTTGAAGTCGCCTCTCAATGTCTATATATATATATATATATATATATATATATATATATATATATCCTATATATATATCTCTCCTCTCTTTATATATACCAAATATATATGCATACACACATACATACAAATATATGCACTATATATTCTATCTAGAATTTATTATAGAATTGATCATTTAGCTACAAAATATATATGCAACCCATATACACATATTCAAATATATAGATACATGGATGGTGTGAGAGAATAAAAAGCAAAAGACTTCCCACTATTACAATTGCATTTATTTAGTGCCCTACCTGAGATATCTTTTTTATTAATTTCTTGCTTGCTCCCCAATTTTCAGTATGCATTTAAAGAAAATATGAATGAATAGTAATTCATTCCTGCATCTCGTGGGTCTGTCCCCTTACAACATATCCTGAGGTTCTTTCAATATGAATACTGAATAATTTCTTCAAAACTCTTTTCTCAGCTACATAATATTCTTTCATACATGTGTTATACTGTGTAAGAAACCCACTGTCGATGGACTTTCAAATTCCAGTCGCTCCTTTACTGACAATGAAGAAATAAATGATACCAAACAAGCGTCATTTTGAATATATGTGCAAATATCTCAGCATAGTAAATCCTCATTTACTAAAGGGCACATGCAATTATAAGTTTCAGCAATAACGGCCAAACTGTATTCCGTGGGGCTCATAACAATTTACAGTACCAGCTCTCAAGTCTGAGAGTAGGTAATTCTACAGTCTCCCCAGCTGTGTGTCATATCAAACATGTAGATTTTTGCCATCTAATAGGTAAAAAATAACATATATTTGTATTTCCTTATGAGTAAGTTTGTTTCCTATGCTTATGAGTCAATTCTGTTACTTATCCTGTAAAGTCTGTGTTCATAGTCTCTGCCCATCTTTCTATTGATATCTCAAGCCAAGGCTATAATTATTTTATATTTGCTATTAATGATTATATAGATTCATGCTGTATGTTTAAACCTTTGTTGCATTTGGGATTTATCCTAGGGTACAGGAGGAAGTATCAATCAGCAATATTTTTTTTAGGCTACTCTGCCATTTTTCCCATATAATATACTAGATAGTTCATCTTTTTCTCACTGATTTGAGATGTTACATTAATTATATCATACGTTTTCTCATTTATTTGAGTTTGATTTGAAACTTTCTCTTCTATCCCATTAGTTCACCCAACTTTTCATGAGCTATTGTCACAATTTTAATTGTTGATGTTTTAAACTGTGCTTCATAATATGGTGGTGCTAACTTACCTCAATGCTGTTTTTCTCTAAAAGTGTCTTGGTTGCTCTTTATATTAATTTTTTTTACTATAAATAAGCTAGTTCAGTTAAGTTTTTAACCATATTTTACTAGGAACACATTAAATTCATAAATTACTTAGGGTTAAATTATATGTTTTTGATGTCAACTCTTTCTATCCAAGAACTTTCTATTTGCCCATAATTTCTTGTGTGTCCTGTAAGAGTTTTTATTTTTTAAATATTTTCTTTATGTGAGTCCTGTGCATTTCTTTGTTGGTCTGTTTCCTTATCTTTTGCTATTATTATACATAGACTCTTTTCTCTTTCTTCTTCTATCTGGTTGATATTTATATATGTGAAAGCTATTAATATCTTTTTATTAATTTTAACCCACTTTCTTATTTAATTATTTTATATTTTTGTAGTTTTCTCATCAATTCTTCAGTGTTATACAGGAATGTATTTATAAATAGTGAAAATTTGATGTCCTTCCTTCCATTTTCTTTCCTTTAATTTCATTGGCTAATTGTTTCAATAAAAATGCTTGTGTTTTTTTTTTTAAAGATTTTATTTATTTATTTATTTATTTGAGAGAGAGAGAACACACTTTGGGGTAGGGATAGAGGGAGAAGGAGAATCTCAAGCAGATTCCCTGCTGACCACGGAGCCTGACACGGGGCTTGATCCCATGACCCTGAGATCACAACCTAAGCCAAAACCAAAAATCAGCCTCTTAACTGACTAAGCCACCCAGGCATCCTTGCTCATCTTGTTTTTAACTCAAGTAGGAATGTCTACCAGATTTCCTCAGTATATTGGTTTATGGTTTTTAAATAAAAAAATTTTTAATTATGTTAAATAAACCCATTTTATTGGCTTTTTAAAATAAGAAAATATATACCCATTGTCTATGAAGACAGTAATGACTTTTGTTCTTGAGCTAATCATATGATTGATCTTGATATAGTTCCTAAATAAATCTATTTTGCATTCTTACTATGAATGCCACAAGGCTGTGATGTTTTATTCTTGAATTAAAATGCTAGATTATGTTTGTTACTTTATTTAGTGAAATTAGTCTGTTCTTCTCTTTTCAAGAAATTTTTATGAAGATTCCATACAGCTGTTCTGTAACCTCATGAAAGAAATAAAAACCACAAAAAATGCAAGAAAGAATTAACAATTGTAATAGCAAGTGTGAATAGTGGTAAAGATCTCTAAAACCAGTAAATAAATCCAAATTTTGTTCTCTGAATAAAAGAGATAAAAAATATAAAAAATAATCAAATGGATAAACCACCACCTCATTTAATCAAAAAAAGGGAGGGGCACCTGGGTGGTGCATTCGGTTAAGCGTCTGACTCTTGGTTTTGTCTCAGGTCATGATCTCAGGGTCATGAGACCAAGCCCCACGTTGGGCTCTGTGCTCAGTGGGGAGTCTGCTTGAGATTCTCTCCCTCTCCCTCTCTCTCTCCCTCTGCCCCTCCCCATCCATGCTCTCTCTCTGTCTCTCTCTAAGATAAATAAATAAATCTGCTTTTAAAAAATGGAGAAATTTCAGTAATAAATTCTAAGAAGGAAATACTACAGAAACAGAGGAAATTAAAAGAATCATAAGAGACACCTTTACTTTAACATATGCAAAATTTGAAAACATGAGTGAAATGGATAATTTTTCCAGAAGATACAGTTTATCAAAACTGATCCCAAAGGGTAAGAAATTTTAAAGACATCAACCTTATGGAGGCAGTAGAGAAAGTTTTCAGAGAGCCACTACCCAAAACTACATAAGGACCAGGCAATGTGACAGGAGGACTGTAACACAGTGAGAGGGGCCATTCTCCGTTGAGCCATCCCCCAGAGCGCACCCTACACCTCCACACCACACTCCACAGCTCTCTTATCTTTGATGGTGGGGCTGTCCTAGGGGGACTCTCTGCTCCTCACAGATATCAGTGGACTGTCCCTCCTCCTCCTCCCTCGTGTTCTCCTATGGAGTCTCATCCTGTCTTCTCCTCCATCTACAGATGGTAGCCCCTTCCCCATTATCTCCTCTTCTAATCTAACCTCTAACCTCCTCTCCCACTGTCACTTCCAGACCCGCAGGTCCCTCTGGGGGGATCTGGTTCCCAACTATCCAACATACCTCTAACAGCACGTGTGTCACTTGGCATCTGATGGCTGGTCTTGGAGCTGCTCTGGCCAAGCACCCCTGGAACCATGCTCAGTGTGTTCCTTTCTTTCAAACTCAAATGCGGTCTTGAGCAATGCTTCTAAGCTCTTCCGGAAAAGCACACAGAAACAGACAATCCCCTGTTCTTGTTACTGACATCCTGGTCTGTGCCACACTTCTCTCTGGTCCCGGCTGTTGAAACATCTTCTCCTTAAGCTTCTGCCAGTGCTCCTTCCATCCCTTCTCTGTTCCAGGGCCTGGGAAATTCTAGTAACACAGGAAACACACTTTCTTTTTGCTCAAGCTCTCCTTGGGGTCTTACATCTGATCCAAAGTAAAAGACAAAATCATTAAAAAGACCAGGGAGCCCAGCACGCATTGTCATCTGCCACCAGCCAGAGGATGCTCCCTAGTGTCACCTCCTCTGTGAGACATCATCTCCTGCTCCACCCTGCTTCTCCACTCCAGCCCTCACGCCACTTCCTTTTGTCCCTGAGCCGGCAGCTACCTTCCAGCCTTCAGCTTGACCTTCCCTTCAGCCTGGATGGCTCATCTTTCCATTTGTCCATGGACTCCGGTCCTTCTGGGCCCTACCCAACCATCTCACTTTCTTTGCAAAGTCTTTCCAGACAAAGTATTTAGAGCTGCAACAGCCTTTCCCTACTTCTATGCCCCTTTTTATCCACTGCACTGACCGCCCTGAGATAGCCTATGATGTACCTTCGGTTAGGGTATGAAGCTGATGGTCTGCCCTGCCTCCTCCCCACTGGAATTTTAGTTCACAAGGGCAAGAATCACTGTGGTTCCGTTGTCTCCCAAACAATTCGTGGAATGCCCTACGTGCTTAAAAAGTCATCTGTTTTTCTTGTTTTCCTAAGTTCTTAACAAACATCTTTTTTTTTCGTTTTTTAAACAGATGAATTAGGAAGTGAGGCAATGTAATACAAAACTCAAATAACTTTAAAGAGCTCCCACAACGAAAAGGCAGATTTGAAATTGTTCTGCCTTCTTTCATAGTATACACCAATTCTGTCTAATTTTGTCACTAATAAGTTAAAAAAAAAAAGGGGGTATCTGTGATAGTAAGATTTTCTATTCCATCCAATCAACCATTTACTACACAACTACCACTTACTGTGTCATGGAAATACAAAGATAAACAGAGTGCCATCATGTGCCAAAAAAATT